AACTTTGATCGGTTATGTAAGAGCAGTTTGGTCGAGCACTAGAACGGTTTGTTATTTTTTTTTTCGAGCCTTCAAATTCGTGCAGGAATTCATCTTCAAGGATAAAAGCAGCAACAGAACAGGCGACAGGCAGAGGGGAGGCTTGCAAACGAACGTGCAGTGACGTACTGTGATAGAAGCGAATGGCGCTGTATGCTGGCGCAAAACCAATACATCGATTGGCCTACTTCTCCTTCGAGGCTCAGGATTCACTTAACTCTCGGCCTGTTTTTGTTGCCGATGTGGACTATTAACGTGGTGGTTGTAAGCCGTCTCGGGGGTATGGGCAGTCCCTTGGGATAATTTTTCATCCCTTCGCACAGCCAGACTTTCATCGTGTATCCATGCTTTGAGCATGCGTCCACTTTGTCTTGTGTAATAAAAATTACATTTCAGGTCCGAGATACGCTACATTACGCCTGATCGCTTATTATGATTTTATCAGTCTTTAATTTTTTTTATTATTTTGTTGTGTATCGTAACTTTAGGCCGCTGGGCAGTTCCCACCCTAGTCCCACAGCAATGTGCTCGGTCGCTTCTGGAACATCCTCTAATTATGCCGGAGCGTGCTATACCATTGATTATGTTTCCGATGGGAGCTTCCGTCGTGTGCGCGTAGGGATCGACCTATAAAAACCTTCAGATAGTCATTCCGCATAAATTTGCCGCGGATATATCCGGCCTCACACGCTTTTTCTTCGGGCTCACTGCAAGCAGTATGGGCCCATTTGAGGTGCTTTCTCACACAGCGTCCTTTATGAGCCACCAGATGGTTGGTATGTAAAGTGGGAGGCCATGTAGTGTTTGTTGCCTTACTGTAAGCTGTCGTCCCTAGTTCGCCGTTGTACCTTCGCCTAACGAGCGGACCAAGGAGATGAAGTTGTTGTTCCTTGTCTTCCTCTCTCGTGAAATGCATATCCGGGAAGAAGCAAGTGGAAAATTATGGAAATTCTGCGGTATGTGGATTCCAAGCAGAACAAACGTATTGTAAACGTAGCTGGGCTAAAAAAAAACAGTGAAAGCTCTTTTAGGACCAGTCCCGCGAGTAAGCCGGAGATTGGAGGAGCCTATCGGAGTTACCCCATTCTGGCTGTAGATCTGTCGCACAAAGACGAAGCACGTGTTTTGGTAATCTTTCAACAGAAGTGTAACTTAGTCCGCTGCTTAACGCAAAGAGCCAGAAGAATCTGCTCGGCCGATACTATTGAAATGGAGCTCCAGAAACTCCAGGACCTGCTTTGAGAGAACGGATATCATAAAGAATATGATAGAGAGAGAAACAAAACGCACCACACCCACTATGGAAATGAAGACTCTATTCCTCGAGCCCCCCTTTTAGAGGGATGTGGCAAGCGACTCCTAAGCAGACGCCTCAACCAAGCCGTATCACGAACCTTCTCCGCAGCAAAAGTTCGAGTGTTATTCTCAACCAACCTGTTCATGCATGGCGAAGGTAAGGATAAGATACCAGCTCAGAACACTTCTATGTGCATCTACTCATTAACTTCCTCCTGTGGAGTAAGTTATATCAGTCGCACGAGTCGGCACTTATCGAATAGAATAAGGGAGCACCTCCCGGTATGGCTGGCCAAAGGTGAAGTCAGAAGCATCAACAGAGCCATCCTTGCCCACATGGTTGATTTCGGACATCGTGTGGACCCCAGCGAAGACTTTAAGGTAATTTATAAGGTCCCGCCCAACTATCCAGATTCCCTGGGTCAGCGTTTGCTGGCA